GGTCTAGAGCTCTGTCTTCCTCCTGGTCTGGATGGCGCATAGCCTATCACTCTGTTTTTGAGAATTCAGACTCCACGGGGTCCTGCCTACAGCTGCACCATGCCCTGAGCCCTGCGCAGGGGGACCAGCTGCTGCCAGGACTCTGCCAATGTTGACATGCAGTCCATCTCTCCTTGGCTTGTGACGTCAGGGTTCTCTGGGAGGAGGCAGCGGTGTGCTCGTGAGCAGCTTGTCTTTACAGTGGGTAGTTGGAGGCCTGCCTGAGTCTGCTCTGCTGGGGAGAAGTGGCATCCCACTTCTCTTTCCCATGGTGCCTGGTTGGTCTCCCTATGTCTCATACCCATGCTGGGTTGCGTGCTGAACCCTGAACTCCTGCCTGCCTCAAGGGTCTTTGTAGTGACTCCAGCCTGCCTCAAGGGTCTTTGTAGTAGACTTTGTAGTGAACCACCTTTTTCCACTGCCTCCACATTCAGTTTTCAAGGCAGCTTGATTTCTGTTTCATTTTTAACATTTCAAAGTATTTGAAGCAAGGCTGCCCCATGACACACCCTGCTCCCCAAGCCAGTCCTGTAGCTGGAGTGATGGGCACAGGGAAGTATTAAGCCGTGGGAGAAAGCCACATTTTCAGGAAACGCTGGTCTCTCTGCATACCATTGTTTGTTCTTATAGTATTTTATGGAGCCGGTGCCATTGATTGTAAGATATTCTGACTTCAGAAATGAAAACTGCATGAAGTCCTTTGTTAAGAACCAATACATATTATTTTTTCTCCAAAGCCTGCACTTGAGGTTGGGGTGAGGGCCACTGTCCCTCACAGGTGCTGACGCCCAAAAGTGGGGCAGAGGTGCTGGGGCCAGGAGCATCCTGCTCGAAATCTCGGTCAGGGCTGTTCTCCAGGTTCTGGCTGCCAGGGTTCAAGAGACCCAGTTCTTCCTGCAGTGAAAGCCGTGTCTAAACACATGCCTCGTCATCAAACCTATGAATGTGACTGGAGGAGAATGCATGCGGGACACAGGTGATGGACAGGTAGGCAGGACGCCGACACCGTAGTCACCACTGGCAGAAACCTGGTGTGTGCCAAGGTGGAACAGGTCGCCCCACAGTGCAGCCTCATGCTGTGGTGGATGCTTCCATCCATGCAGGCTGCAGTGTCCCGGGAGATGGTAGCAGGACCAAAGCATCTCCTAACCTAGTGACATCGTCACCATCTAAAGCCCCAGGGCAGTGCATTACACGCTGTGATGCTGGTGTGAGCACACCCAGAGCATCCATCAGGTGTGTCAAAGTGCAGCAGGTGGGCTGTGTCCATGACCTTGACGAGCAGCCACGTCACCAGCTCATTGGTTCAGGGTTCATCCAGCACTGGGGCAGCATCGTTACCTCATGTGTGGGTGAGCACAGCTGGCCCACCTGTGTCCGCACACTGTCATGTTCGTGCTTCTCCCCAACCTGCCTGTCCTTAAGGCAGACTCAGACGATGAGTGTCGACGTCAGCAGCAATCTGATGCTCCCTTAACCTTTCTTTAGGTTCAGGGAGCAGGTTTCCGAGGTTGGAAAGAAGTGACTTCTCTGTTTAATAAGGACGATGAACAACATCTGCTTGAAAGATGTAAATCTCCAAAGTCTAAAGGGTGAGTCACCTGTGTGTGGAGGCGTTCACGTCTCGGGCAGCAGTCACTGGGCGGTGGAGCAGCTGTGTGACCGCAGGCCCTGAGCAGCCATCCTGACTGTGCTTGTGGAGCCTGGGGGCTCTGCCTGGAGCACAGTTGCATTCTGCCATGGTGTGGAAAGGTGAAAAGATCTCCAGGTCAGGTGCGTGTGGCTTTAAGGCCGTCCAACCTGCTTGAGGTTCTTAGTACTTTCAGAAAACAAGGAAAGCTCTATTGAAAATGCAAAGGCTGAATTGTAAACTGAAAGGTCTTAGAAACTTAGGCTCATGTATCACTGACACTTTATTATAAATATTTCACAATGTTAGAAAGTGCATTTAAAGTTGAAAATCAAGGCCACAGGCTGCATGATGGAACTGCCACTGGCACAGCTGTCAGGGAAGCCCTGCGATGGAGGGTGCATGCTGGTGGGCCTCAGTGGCCGCCTGCTATCAGGACTGTGAGTGCTGGTGCTCTTGAGCGGGAGCCCTTACTGTGCCCATGAGGTGCACTCTCGCTGTGGGCGGCCGGCTGACCAGCGTCTGCAGTGAGGCCTGTGGCGTTCTTTCCTTTTGTAGGATGTGTTCTTGACTCCCAGGTGCTCAGGTAGCTTGCTACTTGAGGAGCCTTGTTGAAAACCTGTTTGACAGGCCTGGCCTCCTAGTTTGGACCCTGGGTTTTCCTGGGAATCTGTCTGGTCTGGATGGTTCAAACCTTGTCTGGACTAAACGTAGCCTCTGCAGGTGATACCCTAAATAGCTTTTACCAGCTTCCTTACAACGAGAGAAACTGGTTTTCAAAATTTCCTTGTTAATTTTGATCCATATTCAAGCCTGCACACATAGGGTAGCTTTCTAAGCAATTTAAAACTTCTAGGCAACAGCTTCATAGATGAGTGCATTTATGGGATGACTGGGTCACCAGCATGTAACTCTTTTTCTCTCCTGCAGATCTAACTTACGTTTAAAGGAAGAATCGAAGACAGAGAAGAAAGCTGGATTTTGGGACAATTTGGTTTTAAAGCAGAATATGCAGTCTAGAAAACCAGATGAGATTGAAGGCTGGGAACCTCCACAGTTTGCTGTGGAGGATGCAGCAGCTGGCATGGGGGACTCCGTGCACAGCCAGCAGCTCTGGACGGGCTGGGAGGGTGAGGACAAGGGCTCCATCAGGTACAGCAGCCTGACCAGCTCAGCCAGCAGTGCCAGGTGGAGCCTCCGGTCAGCGGGGAGGTTGGTCAGCCTCAGACGGCAGAGCAAGGGTCACCTGGCAGATGCCCAGGAGGAGGTGGAGTGAGTGAGTAGTGCCCAGTGCACAGCCTTGTGCTGCCAGGCGAGCCAGGTTTTGCTGGCCTGCGTGGCCTTGTAGCACACCATCCAGCTACGAAGCCTTCCCCCACGAAGCAGTAGACTGCTGGGTCCCTGCCCGTCCCAGGTGGAGCCCTGTGCTCCTGCCCTTGGGGAACCCGGCAGGGCCTGGGTGGTGCCTTATGTAGAAATGCCCACCTGCCACAGCCCAGGCTGCGGGAACTGGGTGTTTGACCCAGTAATGACGCACAGTCTGTCCCCCGTCGTGTGTCCAAGGGTCCTGCCCCTTTTCCTTCATGTGACATGTGTTTGGGCTGTGACTGACCCCTGGTGGCTTGCTACCCTCTTTTCACCAAAAGGTGAGATGAGTCTCCCAAAGGTCACGACACCCTCTGGCATGCAGGCTGTACCTCACCAGATTTAAAAGAGGTGTAAACAAATGCTGGAAAAGCAGAGGACACGTGTGTGTGAAACGGCAGCACCTTGAATGCACGCTGGTCTGACAGTGGGTTTTCCTTTGAGATTTTATTTTTACTTCTCGTGACTTCTTCTTTTTTTATCCTGGGGATGGAATCAAGGCCATGCACATGCTAGGCAAGTGCTCTACTGCTGAGCTGCACCCCCAGTCCACTCTTGAACTTTTAAATATTGCTTTTTATTTTCTTCAAACCTTCTGTTCACTTAGTTTACAGATTTAGGAAATTCTATAAAATGAGGCTAATTTTAGCCACTTGATAATTTTGTTTGGAAAACATTACTTGCTTATTATAGAGCAAGGTGAAAAAACTATACTTAAAGGTAAAAAACTGTACTTAAGACACTGAAGTGCCTATTTTCTATTCTTCCCAGGTGTTTAGTTTTTCAACACAAGATACTGTGATTGATGTTAGGTCTGTAAGTTTTGTTTCCCTCAAAGAGTAACTTTGGCTAACTCGATAGCATCTCACTCTGCCTGTTTCTGGACATGCTAACCGTCCTCAACAGTGTGATCCTGTATCAGGTGTCTTTGTCAGGATGACCTTAGTGTCGGGTGGGCCAAATAGCTACCTTAGGTGAAAGTGATAGGCTAGGAATAATTTTCTTTGTTTTGATTAAAAACAAAAGCTTCTAGTTACACTGTGCATTCCTTTCCTGGAAAAACAAAGCCAAAAAAAAAAAAAAAAATCCTGCCCTTGAGTGTTTTAGTGTGTATTTCTGTGCTGTTCCGTGTACCTGGATGTTCCATTTAGTGTGTCCATGGAGAACCAGCTTTGCCTCGCGGCTGAGCACACTGTGGTATGTCAGAGCATCTAACTGCATTCTTGATAGAACAAGTTTACTCGATCCATTCATCTGTTGTCCCTTTATCATCCATGGCTAGCCACCCCTCCATACTTCCATCCATCCCTGCACCCACCCATCTGCCCATTTCTCTCTCCATCTGTCCATCTCTCCCCACATCCATCTGCCTACCTATTAATCTCTTTCCATCAGTCCATCCATCCATCCATCCAACTTTTAGAAAAAGAACAAGTTTACTCACTGAGCCTTGAGAAGAGGAGATGCTAAGTGCTATTCAAATAAAAACTGATCTGTTAGAGACTGTTTCATAAGGCAGAGGAGAATCAGAATTTTTGTGCTGTGGCTGGATAGACAGGTGCAGGCACCATCAGGTCAGAGTCTTAGAGTAGGGGCTGTGTGGGTGAGTTCAGGTGGATACCTGAACTTCCTGGGATACCGCCTGCTAGGATGGAAGATAGGACCCAGGCCCACGTGACGCCAGGAGCTGGTCAGCTTGTCTTTGGCCAGTCGTCTGTGTGGTGCACAAGTATACCCTTGTGTTTGTGTCTCTGGAGCGTGTGGGGCATCGCAGTCCTGGGGGTCCAGGTGGTGGTGGCTGCTGTGCCTCTGTTGTGTACCTCGCTGACATTGCTGTGACTGGAATATGCACTGTCAATCCAACTTTTCTTACCCACAAAGATCAATGTAAAAATGGCTTTTTTCTCTGTTGTATCTGATTAAAATAATTGTTTATGGTTTTTGGTGTAAACATTTATTGGTGTGCTTTGGGGGGAGGTGTTTCTCTGGAAAGGACCCCTTGGCAGCATGCTGTGCTGTGTTCACCCACGCGGCAGCTCTGAGACGTGTGCTCTCTGTGGGTCCAGGGGTTCTGACAGGAATGCAGCTGGCTTTGGGGAGGGACGGTCCTCCTCAACGCTTCTGTCTCCTTTCCCTGTGAGTTCGCCTGATTATCAGCATCAGCTTCTGATGACGTGACCTGACCGCAGAGCTCATGGCACCCCCTGACCCTGTGGATCTCACACACGTTGTCATAAATAAATGAGTCCCAACGGAAGCCACCGATGTGTCTTTTGCGTATCTGAACTGCTTTCTGGGTGTCCCGAGTGACCAGGTGCTCAGCACAGCGTCCGTCGGCACTTGCTGGTGTTTCTGGTCCTTGTGCAGGTTTTACCTTCTTGACAACTTAACAGTGGTACAGCATTTTACCTCATCATTTAAATTTGTATTTTGAAAGGTGTGTCCATCCCTTGGAAGTACATCTTCTGTGGAAGACAGTGGCCTCTGGCAGACGTGTCAACTCCCCTGAGTGCTGGACGCCCAGACGAGGCCCAGTGTTGTGTTTCCAGGGGCGTGCACTTTGGGCAAGAGGCACAGGGCCACACTGGCACCTCATCAGATCTGATTCCGGCAGCTGGCCCTTCCCCCTGGCCCTGCCACACTGCCCACCGTCCTAAGTGCTGACTGTGCCTGGCCATGCTGGTTCCTGCCATCAGGTTTGCCCAGCCGCAGCCCACTCCACCTGGGTGGCCAGATGAGAGCCTAGGCCAGGACTGGCTTCCTAGCTCATAACCGTCCCTAGGCGGTTTAAACAGGCGCATCTCCACCCTGGCTTATTGTGGGGCACGAGAGTTGAAGCCCTCGACCTGGTCGGTCTAGCACTGGCCGGAGCAGCGCCCTAGGGATCCGTGTGGCAGCATGATCCTGAGACTCGTTTATGGTCATGGAGCCAGCACTGCAGAGTACTGACTGGATGGGAGTTCAGTTTGTTTCAGGTAAGCGATTCAGCCATCACGGTCTGCTCCTCAGAGCCCAACCAGGCTGCACGCTTCCCTTCAGGCAGTCCTCCAGGGACCAGCCCTCTCCTCGCTGTTGGGGTCTGTTGGCATGTTGCCCAAGCCCCTGGGGACGGGCCTTCTCCCCTGGCGCTGGCCATGGGACTCATTAATCTCCCAGGGCAGCTGGGGTACAGCTACCTGAGAAAAACCATCTCTGGCACCTGAGTGCCTCCTGCAGAGGAAGAACCCCACAGGGGCAGACCCTTATGATTTCCGCTAGTGGGAAAGTGACGGGGTGGTTTTCTAGTATAAAATTGCTACTGAAAGGTTCATTTGAGCTTTATTATTCCCTGGAGCAGAGAGAAAGCCTGACGGTGCTCAGGCCATCAGCTTGGTCCTTTGAGGCCCTGGACAGGAGCCCGGTCTCCAAGGGTCTGCAGCATCCCTGGGGTTTCGTGAGTGTGAAGCGGGACCTGCTCAGGACTGAGAGGAGACGGCAGTGTGCTCGAGTGGGTGAGACCCTGCGATCCGGGTGCTCTGTGGTGCTCCCTGCCTTGAGCTGGTCTTGAATAGCTACAACCAACAGCCCTGTGAGTGAAGACCTCCAGGGCTGACAGCGGAAGGCAGATGTGCTGGATCCCTGCGGAGGGCTGGAGGGCTGGCGCCGCAGCTGTGTTTGGGTTGTTCGGCTGGGAGGCAGGTTGGGTGCTTCTGGGGAGCTGCGCAGGAGGCTGGGGGTGTTCACAAGGCCGTCCTTTGACAGTGTCCTGGGATCCTGTGGCTGTTCTCAGTCTCCACATCCAGAGCCCTGTCTTTCCCACCGGGAGTTGCCCCTGCTAGTGGGACTTCAGCAGATGTGTTACCTTTTATTATACCTGTCCATTTTCAAGAGGGGGAATATCAACTTCCTAGCTGGACCCACAGCCCCATGAACCCAGGTGGCCACATTGGGCTTGTGAGGGTGAGTAGCTACGAGAGTGGACTGGGCACTGCAGATGCAGATTCCCTGAGGGCCTCTCAAAGCCGTGAGCCTCAGGCCCAGCTGCTGTGGGCTCTCTGTGCAAAGTCCCCATCCTGCCCTTAGACCCTACCTTTTGCAGTTTCACCCACGGCCCTGACCCCATACACGGGAGGAAGGCGGTACCACCTGTCCCCAGTGACTGCTGAGAGTGCCCACCCCAGACCTGGGCCCTGGGATGGCTCATGGGCCACCCGTGGCTGGTTACGTGATGGCAGGGACACCCTTCTGTACCACTGCATGGTCAGGCCAGAGCTGGACAGAGCTGCTCTTCCCTGTAGACCTGGCTTAACAGCAGGGGCTTTTCCTCATTTCATTCTTCCTGCCAGGGAGGGAGGAGCCTGGGGAGAAGCCCTGGCAGAGAATGTGGGTGGCACGTGGGTGTCCTGGATGGGGGTGCCTTCTTCCCCTGCTGCCCTAGGCTGCTCCACCTGGGGGTGGGACGAGAGGGCTCACAGGAGCTCTGGAAGGAAACCGGCCACGTGGATGGGTGGTGCTCACAGGAGGCTGCAGACCGAAGGCCACGCTCTAGGTCAGCGGTTCCACGGCCAGGTGTTCCAGCCTCTTTTAAGGGTCAGCTGTCAGTTTCTTCAGGGTCACTGGGAAGCTGTGTGGTGTCCCTGGGTCCACTCTCAGCTCCATGAATGTCTTCAAGCCTCTCTTCCGATTGCATCAAAGACAAAGAGGACGTGCTAGAGCGGCAGCGTCCCCAAGTGGTCAGTGTTCACACTGAGTCTGCTGTGCAGACAGTGTCCCTGGCAGCCTGGGATTCTGGAAAGCTCCTCCCCACGGCTGAGATGACCATGCTGGTCCCGTGCTGTCTCTGTAAAGATTCACGTTCATGGCACGAGCAGCCCCAGCCGGCTGTAGAGCAGGCGGCCTGGGGGTGGGGGGCCGAGTAGGCGGGAGTCTCTAGGAGGGGGAATGGTCTAAGGGACCAGGGTCCTGGGGTGGGGTCTTTCTCTCTAAAGGGTCAAGTTTCCAGGGGGTAGGGCCTCAGGGCTCCAGAGTCTCAGGGGGCCAAGGACCAGAGGGGCGGGGGGATGCCGTCGGGGGTCTGGGGCCTCTGGGTTGACTCTTCTCTGCTGTGTGGATTTCTGAGAGCATGAGACTGAGTGGTGTTCATGAGAGCAGCCTGTACTTCCTGGCGTCTGTGCTGGCCTGGCCTTGATGGGAGGGTTCCATCTCTGTTTGTGAGGCCCCCACTTCTCTCAGACCCACGGAGGAGGAAGTGACATAGCAGACCCAGACCATGTGGTAAGTGCATGTTTTAAGTATGTTAAGACAAAGGGAGAATGGAAGACATTGAAAATAAGAACACAGCCAATTATTAAGCACTACGTGTTCGTGACTTGAGGTGTTTTCTAAATGTGGCATTAAGAAGTTCCGCATGCCACACCTAAGGGCATGAGAGTTTACTAGAGGCAGAGGTCAGCTGGACCAGCCCCATGCCACACTGGGGACCTGGCCCCAGCCTGTCCACTCCGTGTGTCCTGACGGCTTAGGTGGACCCCCCACCGAGCTCCACTCAAGCCCTGAAGCACCAGCTCAGGAAGCCTTGGCAACCAGGCACTTCTCTGGGCAGCCCCAGGTCCCCTCTGCACAGGTTTCAGGAACTGGTGCGGCTCGGGGTGGTGCAGAGACTGGGCTTCTCACATGGTGGACAGCAGTATGCCATCTGGGCTCCGCTCTTCCTCTCTCGCCTGTGCATGTGGTACTTAAAACCCTAACCTAGATGACCCTGAATGAGGCTGGGGGCCTCCCAGGACTGATAATCAGTGTTTAAATCTAGACAACCAGGCAGGGGCCACTGCAGGAGTGGGGGGATAAAACCATCGACTGTCTCCGAGTTGGAGACTCCAGTCCACACCTCCAGCCCTGTGGATGAGCCCCTAGATTTTTTGTAGAGATTCCAGCTGAAAACCCAAACAGGAAAGGAGCAAAGCACACCAGACACTAAGCACTGAAGTCGGTTGAGTGAGACCATTTAAAATGACCCGCCTCTTAGACAAGACAGCAATGGCAGTGGCCAGCACTCTGCCCTCCCTGGGGGGCTGTCCCTGTGTCTCCTCTCCACACCTGCCCCTGCTGGGCCCTGGGCCCATGGGACTCGGTGCTTTCCTTCGGGGCTGGGCATGCTGAGCCACTTTGGTGACAGGAGGCAGGAGCACTGGCTGGCAGCAGTGGAGCAGGTTTGTTGGTGTCTGGGAAGGCTCGGGACCTGCACCTCCAGGCCTTGGTGGGGCAATGCCACGTGCCCTAAAGTCTCTTGTTCAGGCTGGCAGCTGCCAGTGTGGGACTGGGGACACTAGAAGGTGCTGAGGGCCGGCTTCCTGGCTCCTGGGTGTGCGTCCTGGTGAGCAGTGCCAGCAGCAGGCGGCAGCCCCCGTGGGCCAGGGCAGGGTCAGGCTGCAGGCTCCATCTGAGGCAGATGTTCTCACCATGCAGATCAGTGCTGTTGTGCCCTTTGCGTGGGGCTGAGCCTCTGGGCCTCACAACAAACAGGAGCAGAAAACAGACCAGGAGCGTTGGCCAGCTCCATGCAGAGGTCTTAGAAGGGAACTTTAGAATCCCCCTGCTGTCCGGGGCATCCTTCTAGGTCCGTTTTGTCCTGCAGCCTGGTGCCTGTCCTCACAGGAGGCCACAGGTTCCCTCCAGCTCCCTTGCGACTCCAGTCTGCTCAGTCTCCATGGGGCCTGGAAAGGGCGACGCCCTGAGCAGTCACCCAGTGTCGACCCAGACCACTAACCTCCGGGGAGGAGGGCCCCACCTGGCAAGGACAGCGTGTGCCCTTGACCTCCGCTTCCTAGGCTCTGGGCTGGAGGGTGGAAGGTTGGTTTTGCTTTTCTCCTGTAAAGTGTCTTCCATTCCTGACCCTCGAGGGACTGGCAAGGAATTAGGACAAGAGGAACACATTATATCCCAACCTCTAAGTGACGGTTAGTTGTCATAGTTACTCTGGCATATTTTAATTCGGCTCATTTTAGTTTGGGCAGAGAATATTTATTTGATTTTTAAACTTTACAATGAAAGTATACAAAAGCAGAATAGTTCCCTGGATACCCACATGCAGCTGTGGGTTGCGTGCATGTGGTGCTAATCTGTGTTGCACCTTCTGCGTGGTGCAAGGCTGTCCACTCCTGGGCAGGTGTGTTTTCTAGCTGTCTGTCAGACCAGAAGCTGATCAAGAATCATGCCTGGTACATGGCTGTTTTGTATCTGCAAGTTGAAAACGGGAACCACTGGCAAACCTCTCCTTCCCAGTTCTTTCTGAACATGGCTTCATTCTTTGTGACATTTGGCTTATTCATCTAGGTAAGGCATGGCTGAATTCAGGCTGAATCTTTGGCATGGACACTCCTGGGGCCTGCTCCCTGCTGCCTTGTGGTGTATGGGCTCACAGCTGCGTCACAGCCTAACCAGCTGCTGGGCATGAATCACGGGAAAGCTGCCGTGGACATCTGAAGCAGCCTCACCACCCTGAGCCCAGAAGGCCCAGGAGAGCTAGGCTCCACTGGCTCCTAGACTCAGCTTTCTGTGTGCCATGGCCAGCACCTTCTCTCCACCACTCCTGTGCACAGAGGAGGGAGGCAGGGAGAGCGTAGGAAAGAAGAGCATCTACCACTGTGGCTGAGCGCAGCCCCAAGGCCACCAAACCCTGCCTTTCTCCACCAGTGAGAGGTCAGAGAAGTGGGGGAAGGTTGCATGTTGTGACCATGCAAATAGGTCCTGGCACTGAGAATGGCTTTGGGATGTCATCAGTGGCTCAGGTGGATGCTGGTGCCGAGTTGTGGCTGTGGAGAGCTCAGGGAGGCGCCTGTCTGGCTGGGCACAGGAGGGAAGCCAGTGTGGTAGTGGGAGTGTGTCTCTGGGGAATGGCTCCCTCAAGACCTCAGCAGGATCAGATTTGCAAGAGGGTGACTGACCCAGGGGCTCAGGAAAGACTGTTCACGTCCCATGAACGTGGGTGGGGCTGTGCGGGCTCCTGCCTTCCTCCCCAAATGCCTCCGGCTGCTGGGTGGTGTCTCTTCCTGAGGTCTTTGTGTAGTCCCACCCTGTGCCACACTCTGGGACTCAGCCCACGCCCTAGTGTGGGTCTTGTCTCTTTCAGGTGCGTCACAATAGTGGCTGCTTGTCCAAGAGGCCATAAATTTGGAAGTTAAGTTTGTGTTTCTAGAAACTGATGTCTTGGCGTGCTCTTGGGAGTTGTGCATGAGACGTCTGCAATCTAACCATGAAGGCTAGGGGGAGTGATATCAGTTCCTGTGGAATTACTCATTAGTCAAAATCAGTGTTGGGAGTTTTAGGGAAATATTTTTAAGACTCTGAAGTTACAAAGTTTATATAACCAAACTGTACTATCAAGAAAACTGAACAAACTGGGGTGGGATCGAGGTGATGTGAAGTGCCATTTGCTTTATTTGAGTTTTCTCTTGGAGAAGTGGTCTTTTTTTTCTTTCCTTCCCTTTAGAAACCAGTGTTCAGAAGTCTTCTCCCTGGAGACTTCACAGCTGGCATTCTGTAAGGGGTCTCCACGGCTCGGCACCCAGTTCTGGGGGAACCCAGCTTGGATCTGTGCTGGCTACTTCTTCCTAGGAACCCAGGTATTTGGTTCTGAGCAGCAGGGAGAATGGTGCAGCCTACCATGTACCTGTTTTCACTTTTCACAGGGAACAAGTTATGAATCTTAAAGCAACATCAGAGAAAATATTGGAAAGCTACATCGAACTGTTAATAACTACACTGAAGTAGAATCATGGGTAACATTTTAAATACTTTTGTTTTTTGACTTTCTAAAAGAATTTTCTACAGTGAACATATTTTTGTCATCAAAAAACAGACTTTTTAAGTGAAAAATATCAAACATACACAAAGAAGAGATCATACCAGGTCAAGGCCTGCAAACCACAGCCTGCTGGCCAAATCTGGTTTTGCACAGCCCATGAGAGAAGTTCTTAGGTTTTTAAATAGTGAGGAAAACGGCATGACCTTCACGAGTCAGTGTCTGTGACGTGTGTGGACTGGCTGGCTGTTCCGCCCAGCGGCCCAGCAGCCAGAGGGACCACATGGCTGCCAAGTATCCACTGTCGGCCTCTCTGCAGAAAGTGTTCAGACCTGGTGTGAACTGGGAGTGCCTGCCCTCGGCCCGGGTGACAGTTCCTGACCAGCTTTGTTTGAATTACGTTGAAGTGATACCCCGACATCTTAGGGGACAGTCTTACCTTCATGTTGTATTGAAAACTCACTAAGACCATGAACGAACCAATGCACCAAGCACCAAACTCCAAATGCACGAGCAAACCAAAGGACCAAAAAGGGCGCTCCAGGGCGAGGGAGACCCTCAGCACCTCCCTTGTGGGACCCACCGAGGCAGCAAGCGGCATGTGACCGCCATGCAGGGGGCCTGACACAGGCACGTGGGACAGTCTCCAGGACATACACTACGTGAGCCCATAAAAGACTGAAATCATAAAAAAGTTTCTGGTCACAGTGGGATGAAACTAGGAATCCACAGCAGAAAGAAAAGTGAGAAGTTCACAAATTTGTAGAAATTAAACGACAGACAACAACGAAGAAACCACAACGAAGACTAGAAAGTAAATGAAAACTAACACATAACATGCAAACATTTAAGTATGTAGTGAAAGCAGTGGCAGGAGGGAAATTTATGGCTGGAAACATACCTAAAAAGATGTTTTCAAATCAACAAGCTACATTTACATCCTAAAGAAGCAGGAAGAAACTCCAAAGCCAACAGAACGCAGGGAACAATGAAGATGAAGCCTGAGTGCAATGCAGAGTGAGGAGACAATAGCAGAACTGAGGCGTCAGGAGGCAGTCTGCAGACGTGGGAAGAGAAGCAGGGTCCAAGGCACTCACGGGACTCAGCCGTGAGCACACCCAGCAGGACACGCCCAGGCCCGGTGGCTGCACTGGAGAATCTGCAGTCCTTCTCAGATGTCAAACACGCACAGAGAACACCTCCAAATGCACGCTGAGGCCAGCATTATTCTGATACTCATACCAGACAAAGATACTCCAAGAAAATGAACAGTATCCGTGATCAACGTTTTTATATCAATATTTGATGAAATACAAGCCAATAGAATTCCACAGCACATGGAAAGGACGGCATATGACAGCCAGGTGAGCTTTGCCCTGGGGCGCATGGACAGGCGAGCTGTGCACCGCCCCCCTCCACTCTGCAACATCTCTCCACATGAGCAGAAAAGCATCGGCGGCCATCTCAGTAGAGCCCCACACCCCTTCATGTAAAAACTCCACAGATGAGGAACAGAAGGAGACAACCACCCACGATAGGGTCACAGGCAAAGCCACAGCACACATCACATTCAATGGGAGGAGTGAGGCAAGGTGCCACTCTCACCGGCTCCACTCAACACAGCACTAAAGCTCTAGCCAGAGAAACGAGAGGCAGCAAGAGGAAGAAGCCTCTGTCTACAGAGAACATGATCTCTGTAGAAATCTAGGTAGAAAACCTCAAAGACTCCATACACACAAAAAAATGAATAAATGAATTCAATAAAGTTAAAGGATCAAAAAATCAACATGCAAAAATTCAATAAGAAATCCAAAAGGAAATTAAGAAAATTTCGTTTATAATAGTAACAAAAAGAATGAAATACTTGGTACTAAACTTAAACCAAGGAGGTGAAAGATTTGTCAAACTACAAAAATACTAGGCTAGGTCTGTGGCTCAGTGGTAGAGGCCTGTGTGAGGCACTGGGTTTGATTCTCAGCACCACATATAAATAAACTAGTAGATAAATAAGGTCTATCAACAATTAAAAACTACAAAACACTGATGAGAGGAATTAAATAAGACACCAAAAAAAAAAAAAAAAAAAAAAAAGGAATACCTCCTGTTCATGGATTGCAAGAACGCTGTCCACATGATCTTCAGATTTAAAGCAATCCCGACCACAGGCCATGGTACGTTTTGCAAAAATAGAAAAACCCACAGTGAGGTTCGTATGGAACTTTAGTGCAGCCCAGGGGTGCAGCCCTGCTGGGATGGATGGCCAGTGCTGCACAAGGAATCACCCTGTGTCCTGGTTGGGATGTGAGGGGTCCCCCAAAGCTGCTGTTAATGCAGGGATGTTGAGGGTGGAATGGTTGGTGGTGACGATGGCGAGGGCTGCAACCCCTCAGTGGTGGGCGTGGCCAGAGGAGATGTGTCCCTGGCTGTGTCTTCCTTGCAGCCTGCTCCCTCTCTCGGCTTCCAGGCTGCCGTGAGCTGAGTGGCCCTTCCTCACCTAGGGCCCAGAGCCAGGGCGTTGCCACTGATGGACTGACCCTCTGAAACTGCGGGCCCCAAAGAATCCCTCCTCCTCTAAGTTGTTCTTGTCAGATATTTTGGTCTCAGTGACATGAAAGCTGACTAAAATAGCAGGTGAGGCGGCAACCTCACTTAGAGTATGTGCCCACAAGAAGCCAAAGCAGAGTCTTGAAGAGAGATCTAGACACCATGTTCTCAGAAGCCAAGAGATGGAAGTAGCCCAAGTGTCCACGGTGAATGAAAGAATGGACAGGACATGGGACGGCCACACAGTGGAATTTAACTCGACCTTAAAAATGAAAGGAAGCTGGGTGTGGTGGTGCACACCTGTAATCTCAGTAGCTCAGGAGGCTGAGGCAGGAGGATGGCGAGTTCAAAGTCAGCCTCAGCAATTTAGTGAGACTCGGTTTCTAAATAAAATAGAAAGTAAAGAGAGCTGGGGATGTGGCTTAGTGGTTGAGCACCCCTGAGTTCAATCCCTGGCGGTATCAAAAAAAGGGGGGGAGGCCTGATTTGCCAAAGCATGGACGGGCCTGGAGAACACAAGCTGGTCCCACGGTCCCACACACAGGGGGTGCCACAGTAGAGGCTTGTCAGGGGCTGGCAGAGTGAGCAGGGAGTTACTGTTTAATGGGGACAGTCTTCACAGAGGTGACTTTCCTTGATGCCACAGACCTGTGCCCTCAGGAATGGTTAAGTTCCATGAATCTTTTACTACACCCTACAGTTGGTGACCGACACCAGATGAGTCACCTAGAGTGAACCCTGAAGAGCGGCTTGCCACCACCTGCAAGCTTCCCGAAGCCTGTGATCTGGGGGTTCTACGCAGACGCCAGGGAGGCCTCTCCTGTCCCAGGATGAGCTGAAGAGTGGATCCCTACATACGCCAGGGAGGCCTCTCCTGTCCCAGGAAGAGCTGAAGAGTGGATCCCTACAGGACAGTACACTTTTCTCTGCGAGAAACTGCTCAATTCATGCAAGTTAAATGCAGATGTAGTGGTTCCTCAGCACAGCTGAACAGCACTGTAATAAATTACAACCTTTCAAGAAAAAAACCATACGAACAAGACAGCACCCAAGAGAAAACACAGAGAGCACAGTGCCGCCCGCAGCCCAGCATGTCTCTGAAAGAGGACAGCTGGAGATGCGCTGGTCACCTTGGTCCTGCTGTGGATTGCCCCATGCAGGCTCAGAGGCTACCCACTGCTGACCTTCACAGCAGCCAGGGCTTCGAATGACACAGGAGGAGGCTTCTGGCTGCAGCAGCCAGGGTGTTTATGATTTCATGAAAAGCTCTCCTCTGGGTCTACATACAGGGGCTGATGGTCTGCATCCATCTGGAGGGAACCTGTCATCTGACGTCAGGAAACTGTGCTTGAGCTTTTATGTCAGCTCAGCACAGAATGAAGGACCGAAGATCCAGAATATGTTATGCCTATTCACAAGTTTTAACATGCTTAGTCTTTTGTTTATTTACTTACTTTTGGTTGTTTTTGTGGTGCTGGGGATTGAATACAGCGCCTCATACATGCTAGGCAAGTGCTGTACCACTGAGCTATTTCCCTGATATTTTGAGGTGGGCTCTTGGCTCCTGAGTAGCTGGGATTGCAGGTGTGTGCAACTGTGCCCAGGGGAAAGGACATTTTAAAGAAATGACTTGCCAAGGTCTCTCACCCCACGCAGAGATGAGTGGACAGTGGTGCAGTTCCACACAGCAGCTGCTGAGACTTACTTGTATTTGCATTATGGAATTAGGGGTGATATTTATTTTTTTACATACCTTCATTTTCAAAATTTCCTAAAATCGACATGCTTTATTTTAAAATAAAACTCTTTAGACTGATGTGAATGACATCAATTGGCATCGTCTTCAGTCGGATGCACACTGGCAAAGCCACCCCAGGACACACGAGGCCACTGTGCTCCTGTGGCGGCCGTCTTCACGTTGTGCTGCTGCCCTTCTTGGCAGAGGCCTTCTCCTGGGCTTGGCTCCCCCAGCAAGGCTAGGGACAGTCCGCACAATCCGCGCCCCGCCCCGCTGATGGAACATGCTCAGTGCTTCCCTGGGTCCCTCTGATACTGGAGGACTTACCTGGCATCGCCAATGCTTTTGTGAAAGTAACTGTGTGTGATATTTATTTTTTCTTATAATGTAAATTTACAAGGATCAGTGTTCTCCCCTCTTCCCCTGTGGGGTGGAAGATGTCCATGGAAAACTGTCACTTGACACCCCAGAAGCATATTCTTGGTCATTCATATCTATTTAGCACAGAATGTAGAGTTTAGAACCAAAAATCTTTTTTGATCTGATTTATAAATATACAAAATTGCAAATTTTAAGATGCTTAGAAGAAAAGAAGTTTAAAAGGAAGAACAGAAATGATTTTCTTGGGTCTCCTGACTCCTTCAAAGACAGAAACGTACAACCACCATTCCTGCTGCACAGCCCGGAGTGGCAGTTTTCATGTTCTTTCCAGTTCTTTCCAGAAGTGTGGGCCTCCAGATACGGCCAGTAGCAGAACCGTCCTGGTTTTGGTCACGAGAACACTCCACCAGCTAAGCGCAGAATGCGCGGTGCTCACATCTGACGGCCCAGCAGGGTGAGGGCTGCCTTTAGAATTTGAAGAGATCGATGAAGTGCTGTGGGGACACGGGCGTGAAGCAGCTGTCCGGGTCAGCCGCAGTGCAGGGGTGACCTGAGTCCTGTGGGGAGAGGAGCTGGGTTAGGAACTTGCCACTACCACTGTCAGTCACAGCTGCAGAGAAGACACCAGCACTTGGCAAAGGGGACCCTGACCTCACCCAGTGGTGTCATGGTACCTCCTTGGTGGATTCCTGAGGCCTGCAGTGGAGCAGGACACCAGTGCTATCCTGAGTGTGAGGAGCTACCAGTGCGGGGGCTGCTGGTCTCCCTGCCCACTCCCTCCCACCTCCTCCTGGCCCATGCAGACCTTGCAATTGGGATCCCTCTACTGGGCACAGGCCAGGGGAGTGGCTGGCCTCTGCCCACCTGGAGCCCTTAGTCAGGAAGGATGGAGAGAACCCAGGGTGTGCTGCCCGGTGCTGCCCACGGCCAAGGAGACAGAATTGTAGTTCAGAAGTGAGAGAAGAAAAGCAAGCCTGTGAAGAAGCAGACGCCCTCTTGGCAAGGCCGCGTGGGGCAGCACTGGGCTCTCCAGCCCCCCGGAACCGAGTGTGTTTTTATGGATGGTCTCCAGTTTTCCTGAGGGCAGGAACCTGAGCAAGGCTGTTGCCAGGCAGGGCGAGGAGAAGGCACGCGCAGCGCAGTGGAGACAGGCAGTACCTTCAGGAGCCAAGCGAGATGGTAGTCCTTAGCACGCAGAAAAGCCCGCGGGAGGCAGCAGAGAGGAGAAGGAAAGATGGGTTAGGAAGAGCTGCACGTGGTCATTCAGGGCTGTGCAGATTACTTATGAAAATAAAAATGGTAACTAGGGCAATGCAAAGTACGAAAAGACAGGAACCACCCGACACCCCGAATCCCATACAACTGAAGATAGTTTGAGAGAATTAAAAGGAAATAGCGTATCTGTGTCCCAAGACTGAGAACTCACAAGGCCCCTGTGCTAAATCTTCACAACTGTTCACCGAGAAACACAAAGCAAGGCTCATGTTTCAGTGTGCAAGGGACATTTGGGAAAGTCCTTCATTCCTCCTTTTCCCCGAGGGTCTACTCCTCCATGCTAGATAACGGGTGTGTGGATCTGGACCTCCAAGTGTCTCGTTCAGCCTCTACCAGGAGGACCAGCAAGCCTGCTGCTCCCCACAGGCCCCAGCCCTGCGCTCCTAGCCCCTCCGGAGGGTTCCCACATTCTCCCTGCTCATGAGTAGGGGCGGCTGGTCAGAGTGCTCATAGGAGATGTTCCCAGACCTGGGTGCTGGACAGGTCAAGCCTGCCTCACCTCAGGCTCTGGCCACAGCTCTGTTCCTGGAGCCCACAGGCACCTTGCCGAGTGTTCTGACTCAGGAAACCTAAGCAGCACCTCTTTCACTGACATAACCACAGAAACTCACGAGAAAGTGTGTGTTTCTTTATTAACTACTTAGCAGATAGGGCGAGCTCCAATATTCTTACATATTCTTGTAAGAATGTTGATGTCTTCACCAAACTGAAAGGTTTCTGTACCATGAAAAGTTATTTCCACGTATAGAATCATCATTACTTTCATCGTTTCTATAAAATCAAGTAATATGCTCAGGAGAAAAGAGACAAGCAACCCTTATCAGCATCAGTTCAAACTAGACGCACCGACTGCCACCAGCTGTGACTGGGTGGGAGCTGCGTTCTCAGTAGTGTGAGCAACTCAGAGCATCCCCTGGGCCTGGCCTGGCTCCCACCAGGTAAGGAGTCAAAGCAGGGTGAGAGCTGCTGCACAAGTCCTCTCCTTTCAGGCCAGGGCACCGGCAGGTGCCTGTGCCCATGAGGGGGAGGGATCGGAGCCATGTGCTCTGCTGGGACCACCCAAGACATCAGGACACAGGACATTCCCTGCTCTTTACAACAGGCCCCTCACATGGTCCACTCAGCGGTGGACCACCATAACAAGCCAGAGCATCACCAGTGGAGTCTGCAGTGAAAGCAGCTGTCTCTTTCCAAACACTCTAGAGCTTGCCTGTGACCCAGTCAAAACAGGATCTGCAGCTGCCCTCAATTCAGAGACGGGGAGCCAGACACCTGTTCCCAGGAGAGGCCAACCCTCGCCCAGCCTGGAAACAGTTGGGCGGGGGCCCTGGGCAGTGGGTGGGCAGCGGGGTCAGGACCGGCACTGCCATCAGCGTCAGGCCTCCGTAGTTTGCACACCTTTTCCCCACTGAAGCCCCAACATCCACACCATCAAATGCCAGGTTCACCACCGAAACGCATTCCAGGATGAGACAGTAACCAGCCAAGAAAACACGTCATGCCACCGAAGGGCCTGCAGGGCTGTTCCCTGCAGACAGAAAGCATGTCATCAGAGAGCGGGCACCAAGTCTAAGACCACAGTGGGCACAGGTGAAGGGCTCCAGCTCTGCTCTTCTGACACAGTGGGTGCTGTAGATGAGCAGATGATGTGCCTAAGTTTTTCACCAAAGCCTTGCTGATAAGTAACAACGTTCAGGAGCCACCTCTGCTCTTTCTCCTGTCACTGACATCCATGGGGAGAGGACACGGCATCTGTTTTCAACAGGCTGACTCAACAGGGCTGGTGAAACATGCCACAGACAGCGTTCTCCATTTTATTCTTACCTTTCCACTTAAAATACAGATGAATGATCTGTTTTGCTGCATTACAGCCCTCACATTCCAGGAGACACTTAAATGATTACCTTCCAGAAGAGGATGCTGCAGTGCCGGCAAAAATGCAAGGTGTCTCCATACTGCTCCTTGGTTGGGTAATACTTCTGAAGTGTGAAATACATCAACTTCCATTCTACATGTCCTTTTTCTGAAAGGATCAAATGTCTACAAAACTAAACAAACAAAATTCTGTTGAGAATTGGCAAATGATTTCCAAAACAATATAAAGCTATTTTTAAAAGGCAGCAGAGTTCACAAAAACAATTATTTGAAATTAAACTTACTTGGATTACACCAATAAGGGACAAGTCAATGGTGGGATACCTGTATACTGATACCACTGCAGCTGTGTGACGGGTTTGATGACCCAGAACTGGCAAGGGACTTGTATGCAGAACACATAAAGAACACAATTCAATACAAAGACAGCCCCATGTAAGAATAGGCAATAGAATGAAAAAAATAAAGAGGTGCCCAGCCAGCCAGGGACACAGGGCACAACACCCCTCACACCCCACAAGTGTGGGACCCTAACGCCCCTGCCGGGAGTCGAGTACGGAGACAACTAGCCGGTTCCCCAGGCCAAACGCAGCCACACCTGGCCAGCAGCTCCACCCCTAGTAACACACCCTAGAGAAGGGGAGCATGTCCACAAACCTGGAGGTGAGCAACTGTAACAGCACAGGTGGCGCAAAGCCAGCGTCCCCCAGTGAGGAGTGGACAAAAACACCGGGGTGTCCACAGAAGGACAGAAGCTCGGTTTGTAGGACCGCATGAGCTGAGGGTAAGAAGCTAGATGTCCAGAACAGGGATGTCCAGAACACGGATGTCCAGGGACAGAAAGCAGACATGGGGTGATGATGCTTGACCCCACACTCGTGGCAGGGACAGCCACACAAAGCAACAGCATCATAAAGGAACGCTACACTCTTTTGGTTGTGGGAAAAGAGACGAGCTCTTCCGTGGTGCCCACAGAAGCCCAAGGTGCACCCACGGCCACAGATGGCAGAGCCTGCCGTCCGTGCACACCACAATGCCCTCACTCTGTGCCTTGCTCCTAAGAGCAGTGCTTTATGCCATACTCGAGCTGGGTCCCTGTTTCTGGGGACTCTGCAAATGATGATGGAGTCTGTGAGGAAATGTGCTTCTCATCGAGACGGAACCAGGGCAGCTTGAAAAGTAAAGGGGAGTCCTGACATACCCAGCTGTAAACAGCAGTCTCCTGGAATAAAAGCAAGCTCAGTTGCCCCCTCTTCTACCAGCACGGTGCCCACCCGTGCACAAGGGGAGCAGCCCACTCGCCCATGTTTTCTGACTCTGAATCCCTCACCCACATCAGAAGCTCAAGTCAAGCCTGTTGGTCACTTGAGATGACCGGTCCAAGCTCACTTCTGTTGGTTTCACCATGAGGATGCTTCCCACCTGCGCCCTGTGCACACATTTCTAATATGTCTGCTTCTTTTCCAGGGTCTGTTACTAAGCTACGCCTGGCCCTGAAAGCGCATGTTCCGTCCCACACCTGCACACACCCAGTGCTCACAGTACTTAATTGGAGTGATGTCTGATGAGCTGCACAGGGTGTCATCTGCCCTCCCCTGTGTGCAGAGTCAGCTCTGCAGAGGCTCTGAAGCAGTCCAGCAGGACTTGGCCGTGGATGGGGAAGGCCCTAAGCAGGCTGCCCTGAACACATGTCTGTGCCTGGGGACTCTCGGGTGAGAGCTGTGAGTGGGGACAGGAAGCCAGGCCTCCCAGAGCTGTGAGGCTTTTCCAGGACACAGAGCTGGAGATTAGCTCGTTAGATAAGGGGACCCTGGGGAACTTGTCACCAACAAGTGGGACAGAGAACATGCTGTGGCTGTGCTAGTTGTTTCTGGGTGATTTTCAAAATCATGGTTCTTTTTAATATGGAAAATTCAGCCTGATCACCCTGATGCTCAGAACTGGAGCCTCAGCCCCTCTCTCTAGTGGCCAGGACAGACCTGGCAGGGCACACGGGCCTCTGCAGCCAAGTGTGTCATGCACACACCCACCTGCTTTTCAGCAAAATGGTACTGACACAGCTTCTTCCACAGTTGCCTGTCCTCGCTGAGCACGTACAGGGTGGGCGTCACCTGGCCCAGGGTGACGACATCCCACCCGTCTGAGAAGCGGTGGAGGATGTTGCTCAGCGTGTGTAATGGCAGGTCGCTGAGGGTGAGGCCATCATTCACCTGCTGGAAGGAAACATGGACAGCATCTCGTTGAGGCAGCAGCAGCTGTCGTCACACAAAAGCACAGATGTACCCCAGTGATGCCTGAGAAGGTGGAGGCACAAGCCCTCCAAGGATGGTGGGCCACACCACTGAGCTCCCACACAGCGACCTGGGGCAGGACTGGTGCCAGAAGGCCACACACTCCACACACCAGCTCTATGCTCACGTTCAGAGCTGAGAGTTTCACCGGCTGTTTCAGGGCATGCCCAGGAGAAGTGGGCTCCAAACGGGGGAAGCGTTAATGTGACCAGAACGTGTTTCAGAGACAGTGTCTTCACAGGCCCCTTCAGCATGATTTTAGCTATTGTTTTACTTTTCTGTATTAAGATATAACTAGAAGCAGAACTTGTCTGTGTGTGTGTGGGTGCAGCCTGATGTCTGAGGCATAGGGGTTTGGTGATATGGCTGCGTGTTACATCACACAGCAAGGCCCACTCAGTGCGTCTGCAGTGGACTCTGCCGTTACCTACAGCCATCTGCCTCCATATGCTCCCCTTCTGTGCTCACCCCATAAGCCCAAGGTGCCCCTCTGGCTGCCAGCCCTATGTGAGTACACACACACACACGCGCGCGCAAAGCCATGTCCTCCCTTCATGCAGCTTGAGCACAAGCATGCTGTGCCTGCACTTGAGGGGATGCAGAAAGGCAGAGGCCGGGGTAACATGAAGCCTGGGTGGTGGGCCAGCTCAGCTCCACTGTGAGGCTGACCAGGTGATTAGTGGGGTTTGGGCTCACCCCCTGGGCTCTTTGGGCCTTGGTCCAGCTGTGTACCGTGGTGTACCACACCCTCTCTGGAAGTACTTCTTCCTAATGTCCTGAGATGATGCCTGGGTCTGTGGCATATCGGCAGCTTCTGGTTGTGCTTCCTGATTCTCTCATCCCCACTGGTCACTGCACTCTACTGTGAGGACCGCTGGCACTCTTCCCATACTCCTGCAGAAGTGGACACTGACCATCTGGTTTTGCAGGAGGAACTAACTTTGGGGTTTGGTTCAGGAAATCACTAGATTTCTGGGAGTGCAGTGTTCCTGCCATCATCCTCTGCAGGAGGACACTGTGCCCTGACATTCCCGACAGGACCCTGTGGTCTGTTTCTGTCTTCTCAGCTGATGGGACCAGGGTGGCGGCAGCAGCCCCACCCTGGCTGTCGTCCAAGAATGGGCGAGCATCCCTTGCCACTGACGAGCCAAGTGCTGGGGCTCAGCGGAAGCCATTCCCGTCCCTGCTGCCCAGCACAGGGCAGAGTCCCACAGGAGGCAGGTGCGTCTAAGCAGACCCAAACAGTGGCACTTTCTGAGTCTGTCCTACTGCCAACGCCATGAAGATTAGGCACAAAGCAACAGAGAGACTCCTGGAGCAGTGAGGTTCAGAGCCAAGGGCACGTAGCACCTGTTCCCAGGTCCAGCTTAAGGGCCCCACTGTACCTATAAATATGCAGGCCATTTGCAGGTGAGGCAGGGAGGCCTCCTGGACACTGCTGTGGCAGGCAGAGCCCTCTGCTGACTAGGCCAGACTGACCAAGGAGCAACACCCTTTGGGCTGTGGGATGGGCCTGGGCTGCAGTGAATGTCACCAATCCCACCTCTGGAAGCCCTACAGTCACAGGCCCCTTTATGTCATGGAGGACTGGCACCAACATCAGTTGGCCTGGACAGTGCCTGCCACCTCAGGGTCCTGGCCTGCTCCCACCCCACCCACAGGCAAGGCCCGGGCACCAGCGTACTGTTCTCTCCCCTCTTGCCTGCTTCAGAGCCAGTAAGGCCCATTCCCTAGTACCCCATGCACCTGCATTATCAGGTCCTCAGCAGCCCCTAGTGCAGGTGCTGCCGGCCCCTGGGCTGGGAGACCTCTGCTGGGAAAGCCTGCAGTCCCGACAAGCACCCTGGAGCCAGTTCTGCCACATGGAGGAGTTCTATGGACCAGCTGACCTCTGGGTGGCCTGAAGCCAGCACAGTGAGAAGCTATCGAACGCTCCAGATCAGTGCCACCCGGAGACCACCACCAAGCCCAGCCAGCACACACCAGCACACACCTCTGTCGCGCTCTAGACAGTGAGACAGTGCGCTTGCTGCCAGCTCCAAAAGCACAGGCAACAAAAGCAAGAAATGGCAAATCAGGCTTATCAACTCAAAGCTCCTACACAGCAAGGGAGACCACAGCAAGGAGCAGCCCATCCCATGAAGTAAGACGTGCAGAATGGGAGAAGTGTTGCAGCTTGCTCATCCAGCAAGGAGTTAATTTCTGGAACACACAGGAAACTCCAAAAAATCCAGTTAAAAATAGGTCAACTAACTGAAACAACATGTCTCAAGAGAGGACACAGAAATGGCACAGTTGCATGAAAACATGCAGCGTCACTGATCCTCAGGAAATACCCCTCACCACAGTCCTAATGGCTGTTATTATCTGGAGAGGATGTGGAGGAAGGAGGACTTGAGACCTGGTTGACAGGAGTGCCAATTAGTACAGCCATATGGAGAACAGCGTGTAGGTCCCTCAAACCTCAAACAGACCTTCAGTGTGATCCAGTCACTCCACCATGGGCTACACATCCAAAGGAACCCAAGCCCATGGGGTGGGGAAACTCCTGCCCGGCACATCCTCTGCAGCGTCATTTGCAATAGCTATGATATGTATCAACCCTGGTGCCCACTGATGGATGAATAAAGAAAATGTATACACACAGTGGGACACTATTCAGCCCCAAAGATAATAGAATCCTGTCATTTGCAGCAAAATGGATGGAACTAGAACATACTATGTTAAGTGAAATAAGTCAGGCCCAGAAGGACAAGCACCACGCCTTTTCATTTATGGAAGCTAAAGCTGATCCACAGAACAGAGGAAGAGTGGTTGCCAGGTGGGAAGGAGGATGGAATAGGAGGTAACAGGTCCAGGTGCTGCTGAATGGGAGGGTCATGGCTCATGTTCTGTGGCACTGGAGGATAATGATGATTGACAATAACTAATTGAATATTTCAAAGCAGATAACAGAGAATTTTGAGAATTTTCCCAACTCAAAGAAATGGCACTGAGGGGACAGCTACGCCAATTACCCTGACATGATCGTGATCATTGCACTGGACACACTAAGTGCCACTCTGTACATAAGTGCATATAGTTATTACGTGTCAATTAAACAATATTTAAAAGAAGAAAGACACTCATACCTTCGTCATCTGAAGGTTCTGTAGTTGTTGTTGCCAGTTAAGGACGGTTTCTAAACGGCAAATCCAAATGTTGATGTTGCCCACCAACACTGACTTCCCTACCCCTCTAATGAGGGTGCAGAGGGTGGAGCTCAGGTCCTGCAGGAGGTTCTTGATCAGGCGAGGGTTCTGGTGGTCACAGAGCACTGGAAAAGGAACACAAAGTGACGGGCTGACGTAATGAACCACACTGTACCCTGGTCTAGGCTCACACCCAGGTGTCTACTGACCATCCTCAGGATGCAGTATCAGCCTTAAGCAGAGGTGCCGCCACACCACGAGCCCAGAAGACCCTGTGTGGAGTGAATGCAAGCCTCGCAAGGACAAAGATGGTGCACTGTTGTGGGCAGGTGACAAGTCATTGCTTTGAACTATGTGAGGCCCTGGACAGTGAAACACTCACTGCTCTTGGAAACTCGGAGTGCAAGGGTGCCTGGGGAATGCCCATTTGCAAGTTGATTCCTTCTATGTTTGCCATGGAACTCACTAGTTCAGAAAGGCTTAATTTCAAATCACAGCTGCCCAGAGGTAGAGGAGATGGGTGTAACCTGCCAAGCCCCAAACAACTTATTTTTCCCATCTTCATCCTGTTTTCCTCAAGAAGCTGGTCACACTGACACACTTTGATGTTCCTACCTATGAAAATGAAATACAGACTCTTGTTCTTTGTTAGATCCAGTCTCATCAGAGCTGGTCCCCATTGGATCCAGCTGTTTCACTTATTTCTCATATCTTTAATATTTCTAATCTGACTCACTGCCCTAGTTTGGGGAAACTGAGTAAACACCATGAAGTATCAACAATCAGAATCATATCAGAACACAGAGTGTGGATGCCAGGGGCCAGAAATGGTGTTCCATGGGGACAGAATTCAACTGGGCAGCGAAGATGTTCTTGAGATGGATGGTGGTGATGCACGCAATGCTGCCGAACTGCACACTTAACAATGGTTAGAGTGGTAAACGTCAGATGTATTTTACCACAATAAAAAAACAAGTGTGTAACTTTATTACAGCCTAAACTGGCTTCATTTTTGAGATATCCCAAGTATAACGAGATTTTTAAAAATTTTACATTTTATCAGCAAATCTTCAGGTGGAGCTACAATTTTGCCTTTAAAATGGTCAGTATACACTTTTTTTGTACTTGTCATAAAGAGAATATTTAAGTTTTACATGTGCACTAAACTAATGGTATAAAATTTAAAGTTCCCTCTACTGACTGCTGCTACAATAACAAAAGCAAGCTCATTAAATTTAAAAGAATATTATTATAGAATTATTGGCCAGAGTGAATGAACCACCATCTTGCTGTTTGTGGAGCCAATCAGCCAAGTACAGTGTAGCTGGCTGACCATGAGAAGGCACAGTGGCTCTGTAGAACTGGGAGACTGGTTCTCTGGGGTGCCAAGAGAGACTTCAGAAAGAAAACCGGCACCGAAAGAACTCTGGGACTTCAGGGACAACCTGCCTTCCTGTCTGACGCTGTCATGTGTCTGTATTGTTGTTTTTCACTACATAAATACTGGGGAAAGAGAAAAGAAAAATCTCTTCTTGCCCTAAATTTCTAATGAGGATTCAGATTATTGGAAACATCAGTGAGTGTCTTACCCTTCTGAACAATTTTATCCAGAATGTTGAAGTAATTCTTCTGTGCAACACCACTCAATGAAGTTAACTGGGATTTTGCAATCAGCTGCAATAGCTAAGGAGAGAGGGAAAAGAAAGCTAAGCATCTTCAAATCCATGTGACATGGAACACAAGTATGATGACAAGGCACAGTGCAGAAGGAAGACACCTGGACCAAGGCTGCTGGCCAGCCCTGGGCAGTCTGCATCCATATAGGAAATGGCTATCACCTGTCTTACCCTGGGAACACTCCAGGAAGGCCATCGTGCAGGATGCCTTCTGCCCTCCAGGCCTGTGCGGGTGCTCAACAAGAGGCTACAGGATGGGGATGTGGGTGTGCCTGTCCTGATCAGACCCACTGTGATGCTATTTCACACCCAGAGTCACGGCTGTTTGCTGACCACACAATCAGAAAGTCAACAGGCCCTTCCCTTTGGAAACGGAAAGACAGAAGCCATGCCATGCTCCAGCTCTTTCAGCAACACTGGCAGAACATCGAGGGCCCCACAGTGAGGACCACTTGGGATCTGCAAGGTGCAAGCCTCACTCCACCTCTGCCTGCCCTCTGGCCTCACAAAGCTGAGGTGCTTTTCTTCGATACCTCTCCTCCTGGTTTGAGCCAACGGCCCTCCCCCAAGAGTCTGCCTTTAGGTGTGCTGCTCTGGCACAGCCTGGAGCCGCTCCGCTTTCTGGTTCTATCTGGACACCTCTGGCCTAACCAGCCTATCTTTACTGATTCAACGTGGGTTTGGCCTTATTTGTATGACATATTTTTGTTTGGTAACTTTTAAAGAAAGTCCTCATTTTCCTTTAGAACTTAGAGAAGTTTGTGTATTCAGCCCAGAAGTTACTTTTGTAATTTAACCCAGCACTGCTCTCTCACCCTCCTGAA